TCTCTGCAGGCGCAGACGCTGCCTCAAGAGAGCTGAGCCCTGCCAGCGCGGCACCTGCGCGGGGCCCTCAGGGGCGATCTGCCCAGAACATTCGGCATGAGGAGGACCAGGATGAAGAGTACGTGCCAGGAAGGACAGAACTCAAGAGGGGGGTCATGCAGATCGGAAGGAACAGGGCGATCAGAAAAATCATGGAGGTCAGGGGGATCAGGGGAACAAGCTAGGAGGATCAGGGGGATGCCGAATACTAGTCCAGCAAAGGGGTCAGGAGGAGAAGACGACGAGAGGATGAGGATGATCAGAGATAGAAGATGGAAGATCTCAAGGGCATCCTACATTTAATGACCCTCTCTGCGTGCAAGCAGGGTGCTATTCGTGCGACAGGCGGCAACAAGATCTCCGGATACGGAGCGCCATCGAATTCCTAGGTGCAACGCTGCGCGCAACTGGATGCAACTGGACGGACCCGTCTTGACCTCCTCCTCCTCCTCCTCCTCCTCATCCTCCTCCTCCTTACTACCCCTGTTCCCCCTCCCCCTCCTTCTCCACCGGCTCCTCCTCCATCCCACTGCTGTTGCGTCCTCCTAAGACTGCTGCTTCTCACCCAACATGTAGCTCCTGCTATCAATACTGCTCCTCCCCCTTCCACTGATTCTCTGCCTCCTTCCACCCCTCGTTCACCCTTCCTGCTGCTGCTTCCGCTCCTCTTCCTGCTCCCTCCTCCTCCTCCTCCTCTTCCTCTTCCTGCCCCTCCTCCTCGTCCGCCCCTCCTGTTCCTCCGCACGCTTCTTCCTCCTCCCTCTTGCTGCTGTTTCTGCTGCTGCTTCCGCTCCTCTTCCTGCTCCCTCCTCCTCCTCCTCCTCCTCCTCCTCCTCCTCCTCCTCCTCCTCCTCTTCCTCTTCCTGCCCCTCCTCCCCGTCCGCCCCTCCTGATCCTCGGCCCGCTTCTTCCTCCTCCCTCTTGCTGCTGTTTCTCCTCCTCCTCCTCCGCCTCCTTGCACTCCCTCTTCCTATTCCCCCTCTCCAGCTGCCATTCTCTCCTGCTCCTGTCGTACTGCTGCCGCTGCTCCTCCTCCAAACTCGACGCTGGCCTCCCCTGGAGCTCCCCGCCATGTGTACAGAGAATTGCGACTCTGCCAAGGGAGGATGACGGGGGATGAGCAGCAGAAGAATGAAGGTGAAGGGGCCCTGGGACACACAAATTCGCCGGCCCAACGGGCCAGAGGCGTGCTAAGATCTCCGGTAACTGGTTAACAATTCTCTAGTTCGCGCGCGCGGGGCGGCCCCTGGGGGTCCCCGGACGAAAAGTACCCCGACCAGGTCCCGGCCGGGTCCCCCCGAGCGCCCCATGAGCGCACCAACAGGGCTCCGAAAACGTCCCCGAGGACCCAAACAAAACCAAGAGGCCCCCAAGAGGCCCCCAAGATGGTACACGAGGGGTCCGACATGCCACAAGATCGCTCCAAGACGCCCAAGATGGCCCCCAGACGCCCCAAGAGGCCTCCAAGAGCACTCCCAAGAGGGCCTCCGGAGGCAAAATTCATTGATTTTCCTTAGGTTTTTGAAAGATTTTGGAGCTTCCACCTTTTCGGCTTCCCGACGCCCCAAGACGGCCCAAGAGGCCCCCAAGATCGCCCCAAGAGGGCCCAAGAGGCCCCCAAGAGGGCCCCAAGATGGCCCAAGAGGGCTCGAAGACGGCCCAAGAAGCCTCCAAGACGGCCCAAGAGGGCCCCAAGAACGCCCCAAGAGAGGGAACACGAAACAACATTTCCAGCCCTCGGCCCCAAGAAGCCCCTCCGAGGCCCCAAGAGGCCCCTAGAGGCCCCAAGAGGCCCCGACGAGGCCCTCAGGAGGCCCCCAAGAGTCCCCCAAGCGGCCCCAGGAGGCCCCCCAAATGCCCCCCCGAGCGCCCCAGGAACCCCCAAAGCGCCGCATTGACACCAGGCCCTCGGGCAAACGGCAGACATGAGACTGTATGGGCCGGCGGAATGAGCGAAGCGATTAAATAAATAGACACATGTAACAGGATCCCCTATCTGTTCCTATATTTTCTAGGTATTTTGTCTTCCCCCCAACTTCCCATATTTTCCTATATTACATCTGGAATCGGCAATTCATTGTGTCTGTGTGTTTTTCCCTCCCGAATGAAGGGGACGGCGAGAGGACGAGGAGGTGAAGGAGGCGAAAAGCGATGGCGAAGGAGAGGCTCGCCGCTCGCCCGGAGAGGTTTTGGCGCAAGGGCGAGCCTCCCTCTTTCGAGCAGCGGTCCAGCGCGGAGCCCGTCCGCCCCACGGGCGGCCGCGACCACACCTGGACAGGAGAGCGCACAAGTCCATAAACACAACAACTCGGAGGTCCGCGCGGATTTCTCGGATCGGCGCTGGGGCCCCCCGTCGGCGCCTCCGGGCGCCGCCCCTGCTGGCGCGCGGAGCGCGCCAGGGAGGGGGGCCCAGCGCCGATCCCAGAAATCCGCGCGGACCTCCGAGTTGTTATGTTTATGTCATTGTTAGTTCCCCTGCTAGACGTGCGTACCGACCATGTGCCGCAATCTCAGTTCTCTTGGCAATGGCGACCTTGCGACGGCAGCAACGCTCAGCTCGAAGCATCCACCAACGGGCCATCCGTAGGTCTAACCGTCGTCGTCTACGTGACCGTCGTGCTCATGGTTTGCGGGCGCAGACGGACACACCAAAACTCAAATGATTCTTGCGAATGGGTGGCACACAGACTTTCTACGGTATTCCGCACACGTTTCAAACGCAGGACTTGGATCCACAGCGTAATTCTCAGTATCATGATGGGCTCCGTCTTCCGCCGATTATCCCCAGCATTCCCATGAACCATTATGTGGAAGCGATTGTGCCTACAGCGGCTGTGCATACACAACCTTGTCCGCCTCCAGAGTACACGCCCACAATCGAGCCAGAAGAAGCTAATCCATCAGAACATGTAAGTTTTGGTTGCAATGATGATTATTTCAATGTTGCAGCCAGCGGCTTCAACAATACATCTGACGCTGATGTGCCAATTGATGACGCGTGTTCTGCAGGACGTGAGGCTGCTGATAATGGCGATGATATGGAGCTCGTTGAACATGTGTCAGATGTCGCAAGAGAAGTTGCGGACAAACCAGATGTGCCTACCTCATCAAGGGAGCCCGCTCCAGACGGGACGACTGCCGTTCCAGAATCCCCGCAAACGACTGCCGATCAAAAAGCGGACCAAGCAACCACAATCCCAGTGAGACGGCAACGGCCAGAGAGGAGGCGTACACCACCGTGAACGTGGAGGTCCCAGAGGAGCCGAAAACTACACCCTGCCCGTTCACACCCTGCCCAACTTTGTCGTCGAATCCCTGCCCAATCTCTTCGTCGTGTTCCCACGCAACTTATACCAGTGGAAGAGTGGACATGTTAGACTGGTTGATGACTAACATACGAGAGTCCATTGTCCGAATACTCGGCAAACGCGTAGCACGAAGAAAGCCTGCTGTTTTGTGCGGTGTCAGCTTCGCAGTAACCGATATGCAAGAGGCTCTCAGATCACATCGATTTCGTAAATCGTCCCCATAGTCTGACTCGATTTCCAAGGCTGGCGGTATTACGACACCTTCGTTCACACGTGGGCAGTATAACAAAAAGTGAGCGTTTATGTATTCTGGGTTTCGTCATTTGGCGCAAGGGGGGGAGGGGGGGGGGTCCGGCTCTCGTCCCGTAGTCAATACCTCCGATTGAATCATCTTGAAATTTTCAACATAGCTTGAAATTCAATATTTGAGCCTCATGAGGCGTGAAACTGGTAAACAAACTCATTCTAACAATTACAATACAACGCAAATATTTATGAAACTTATCGATAATTTAAAATGTATTATGATATATTGTGAAATGTCTTAGTCAATATATTTCTGACGTGTAGAATCAACACATTTCTGACGTAACATCACTCAATATATTTATCACGTATTTTTCAACATCTTTTATGCAAACAATGTAGTTCCCACGTCTAAAATCAATGAATTTCTCGTGTAACTCAGCAATGACGCCTCTGAATCAACATGCGCCAAGGCTATGCGTGATTGTGCGGGGCTGTGTCAGGATTACTATGGATCACATATTCATGATTCCACAAGGCCGTCGGTGGCATAACAGGGGAGGGCCCAACCGGAGGCATGCTTTTTGGCGATCGGGTCCGGCGCCCCTGAGCCCTTTCGTTATGGTTCCAGAAGAATAGCAGGAAAAAGTTCGCACAGTTGCACACATCAACGATTCGAGTTTCTACGGGGGGGGGGGGGCGCCGGCCCCCGTAGTTCGTCCGATCGACTGAAGCAGGTGCCAAAATCAGCCCATAACTTCTCTACGGGGGGGGGGGGGGGTTCCGCCGAAAGCAAAAAAAAAAATAATAAAAGAACGATCACAAATCTGCGGCACCTCGACACCTTCGATTTCATAATTGGCGGTGTCACGCCATCGTCTATTTCCACACCATCTTCACTGTTAACCGCTGACCCTTTTCCTCCACGCATTCTTCTCCCTCTTTTTTGTAGGACGGGATGGGCGAAGGGTGTGGCAGAGGAGGGGGAGAAGTACAGGGGCGGGCACTGTTCAGCCACCAATCGCGTAGATTGCCGCAATCAGCCAGAACCGTTGCGACGAAGCCGTTGCCTTTCTAGACGCATCCAGCGCCCATTTTTCCCAGCCCCCCTCCTCCCCTCTTGCGCGTCTGGCAGGGGTTCATCAGAATCTTCTCGGGGGTGCACCCGGGGGGGGGTCCTTGGACGGGCCGAGCTGTTCTGAGCAATTCTGACGCATTCTGGTAAATTCTGGCGCAGTCTGATCTCGCCATTCCAAGAACCCCACTGGGCGTTCACCCCCGAGAAGATGTTAAAGAGGGGTGCTGGACGTGGGGGTGGTGGAGGTCCACGAGCAAGGCCTCCGGCGAGGGCAAACTTCAGCTGCCCGTCCCCAGATGGTCAATCACACCTCGAGCGAGCCGACCGCCGCGAGCGTGCTTTCCGGCGGGGCCCTCGGCGGCGAGGTCCCAGGCCGAGGAGGGATATTTGAGGT